CATAATAAAGAACCTGAATTTCCTTATATCCGAACTAATAATCTTCCAGAATGGCAATTATTCCCTACCAGTGTTTTCTTCTGTTGCATTATTGCCAGATAAATAACTTCCAACTATACGATGCATCCCAAAGGTGCTTTTTCACCTTTGGAAGGTGAAGAAGTTTCTTGGATGAAAAGCAAAACATCTTCAAGGAAAAAACAAGAAAGTCCAGTTGCCTTTTGAAAACACACCTTTGGGACAACCATGACTTGGATGACAGAATTTCCATAGACATTAGTGCATCCATGGCCTCTACAGATCACACATGCATCCATGAAAAACTTACTAATATCAATCATTTATCATCATCATCAAACTTTGGGCCAGTCGCTCTCACTCACCTTATAGCGTTGTGGGAAATAAGGAGGAAGAAGTATTGTGTGTATTCATAACCTTGAGTTATTTATAAAAATGATAAAGGCAGAATATAAATAAATAAAATATTAATTACTTCAGGAGAAGAAAAGCCACAAGATTAATTTTGATGTTTATTCCATTCTCGGGCAACTAATTTGTTTGTCAGATTATTGTTTGCTTGTCTCCCATTATTCACAAACTGGTGCATGATTGATCTTCTTGGTTGTATGTTGCTGTTTTACAAACAGAAGTAGAATCAGTCTTGTAATATCTTCTTATTTTGGAAATAGAATAATTATAAGGGGATTTATGTGTGGAGTTTTTTGCCGCCAAAGAGGAGTTTAAACAATCCTCCAAATATGTAATTCTCATCAAAAAGAAAAAAAAGTCTAAAATTGAAACCTGTTTTTAAGATAGTCTAGTAACTTTACAATGATCCTTCACTCTAAGCCAAGTATGAATACATCCAAGAGCCAAGATCAATGGAAGTTGCCCAGCATTTAGAGTACCATGTCTTCCCCACCTGTCCTCTCTATGGGAAGGCAGAGATCAAAAATAGTTGCATAAATGTAATTGAATATCTCAGCAATTGGAGGCGTAAACTAGCTTTAGATCTACTTGATCTTGGATAAGTGTAGGACAAAACAGATATGGATTTTTGTGTAAGCTGATATTCTTCTACTGAAAAGAAAGATTATCAAAGAGCCATGATGGTGCAGTGGTTACAATGCAGTATTGGAGCCAACTCTACTCACAGCCTGGAGTTTGATTCTGATCGACTCAAGGTTGACTCAGCCTTGCATCCTTCTGAGGTCAGTAAAATGAGGACCCAGATTGTTGGGGGCAATACGCTGACTCTGTAAACTGTTTAAAGAGGGCTGCAAAGCACTATGAAGCAGTATGTAAAACTAAATTTCTGAACTGTTTCTGCAGTTTATCTTTATGATCACCCCTTTTTCTAATCACTGTTTATACATGGCTGTAAGGTGCTGAATCCTGACCTTTCTAGGAAAAAATTAAAGAGAATCTTGCAAGCTTGATGTACATTCTCACAGTTACAATCTTAGTTAGCATTCCTTTTATTAACAAACTAGCCCAATGCTGAAAGAGGCAGACTACAAATTATCTGAAAAAAAATAGGATGAGTGTAAAATGCTTGTGCTCAGGCTGAACACAGTTTCTTGATAAGGAAGTAGCAGTGGAAAAGCATAATTCTAGCCACCCTTCTTCCAGGGACTCACATGCCATTATTCATCCCTATTCTGCTTTGGGCTTCAGAATTAGCACTTGGAGAAGATGATATCATTGCGGGGCAATCATAGCCTGCCTCTATCTACAGTTATATTGACAAATTGCAATTACATAAGCATAAATACTTTCAATTCAAATACCCTTTTCTGATTTAATAAAGAACCTGAATACACAAGGTAGGGTACTCCAGTAAATAGCATGGAAAATAAATTAAGTGGCATCCAAGTGGCAACTTTCAAAGTATTTCTACTAATGAAAGGGTCGAGCAACCTGGTATAGAAACATAATCCAATAATCTCTTATCTTGGAGATTTTTTTTAAAACCAAATCCACTCAGGTTTATTTTTCAGTAGACCTACATAGTTATCTCAGTATCTGAATCCTGGCCTGAAACTAGACTTGAATGGGTCTAGATCAAGGGTCCCCAACCCCCAGTGGTTCACTATTGGGCATTAAGCCCTTCGGAATTGGGCCGTGAAAGTGGGTGAGCAAGCGTGTGCAGCTCCATTTGCATAATCAGTGGGCGCACTTGCCCACCGCTTGCGCAAATGGAGCTGCATGCATGCGCATGCTCACCCAACCACTTCCACGGCCTGGTTCCAAAGGGCTCAAATGATCCATGGCCCAAGGGTAGGGGACCCCTGCTTTACATGCTGTCCTTTACTATCACCTGAAAGCTATAGCTGGTTCAGAATGCAGTAATGTAGATGGGCATGCCTTTGTATGTAACACCTTAGCTTTGCAGCGTACACTGATTGCCAGTTTGCTTCTGGGTACAGTTTAGAATGTTGATCATTACCTATAAAGGCATATGACCTGGTAACTTGATGGCTGCCTATCTCCCATAGTATCTGCCCAACAAATACAATCTGGCAAGGTTGGCACCCTCCTGGTTCCATCAATTAAACAATGCCATCTGTCTGAGGAGATCCAGGTGGCTCTCACCCTGCTGGTGTCTCAAAAGGTGTTGGAGACCTGCCTCTTCACTCAGGCCTTTGGCAAGCATAAGTACAGTTCCCCTTTGGATTTTGTGTGTGTGTGTGTGTATGTGTGTGTGTGTGTCTTTTCAATTAAGTCCATATTTTTATCAGCCTTGCTAATTTTACTTTTCATTTTTGCCTATTGTTGCTTTTTTTCCTTCTTTTAAATGCTTTTATTTGTAACTATCCAGAGTCACTGGAAGCCATATAAAATTAAATAATATCTGATGTAGCACTTTAAGAAAGGACTTATTTTAATTCCAAAGAATGTTCACTTTAATAATGTTAAAAATATTGCTCATTCTATATACTTACATCCTGCAACATGCTCAACAAATCTAAAATATTATATGCTGTGCATGGTCAGTATTCCTCTTGGTGGCAGCACCTAGCCAACATTGGTTAATTTTGAAAATGTAAGAAAGGTTACAAGGTACTTGGTAAGTAAAACCTGATTAATACTTGTATAAGAGATCAGGAAACACTAGAGTTGTACGCTAGATTGCCTTTTTCCATTCCATTGTTGTTGTTGTCGTCATCATCATCTAGCCAAAGGCAAATCTCTTCTAAATTGTTTCCAATAAAAATGTACAGACATGTCGATGAAGTTGCCAGGAATTAAATTTAGCATGGAGAGTTAATCTCACCTTAAGTCAAATACTGAAGTCTTAAGGAAATTCCATGTTTAACAAGTTTATGCCATATTCAATGTGGTAGTATGTATAGGAGCATGAGAAGGGTTGTGTTTTTTTTTTGTAAAAGAATAATATGTCAACTTTTTCTGAAAGCACATATGAGTAATGGTAGAGGTTTCTTTGAAGTTTTGGCCATAATTCCTTTGCCCCTAAATATTGTGTCAGTTTCACATGGTTTAGCACCCACTCTCTTTTAATTTTGGTAGCCCAGACAACTTCTACTTGAGCATACATTTCAGATTCTCTCTTAATTTTCAGTGGCAGTGTAAGACAAAATGACAGTCACAATGACTTTGCTTTTGATCCTTAGCCAAAATCTGCCTTTGCTGATTTCATAAAGGCACATGATTGGGCCATAACTTGTAATTCTCAATGTAACTGCTGCAGTACCAGAAGTTGCAGCCTAATTTCAGGAAGTGTCTCCAAGAGAATTTACCTGATTTGGGATAACTATCATACCCCAGGGATCAGCACAAATCTCCAGGTGCAGCCCATACACCAGAACAACCTGTATCGTTGCCAGGACCATGTTCAGGCAGCCTTGGGGGGTGGAGACTGTGTGTTTTCTTCACTGTTTCCCAGATGCTCAGCTAGTTGGCCTCCTCAGGCAGGCAGGTGCCAAATTGTTCTTGTTTTGGGTCAGCCTGAGCTCCAGCAGGAGGCTGCTTTGCACAGTCCTATTGTTTTTCCCCTCAAGAAAGGTTTGTTCACACACTGAGAATGGGTGACTCTGTCCTTCTGTTAACAATACCCGAAACAGTAACTACTTTCATTCACTGCATATATGGAAAACTAATCAAGTTCATTAATATTAAACCTGGACAGACTTTCTGGTCTGCTCCTTTGAATTAAACTACAATTTTGCATTCCTCTGACACATAAACATAAAACCAATATACCGGGCCAGCCTGATTCTAAACTATTGATGCACCATTATTCTGAATTCCAAATCATGATTCTTAGTTAGGGTTGCCAGGTCTGCTTCCAAAAAATAGTGGACAAGCAGGGGGGAGGGAAGGGTTAAGTAGTAAAAAAGTAGACTGTACAGCTTTAGATTACGTACCATTTCATCATAAAGCTTTTGAATAAAAAAAATGTCCACTATTTTGTGAAAAAAAATAGTGAACATAATGTGAAAAAAGTGGACTGTCCGCTCAAATAGTGGACACCTGGCAACCCTATTCTTAGTTTTTCTCCAACATCAAACTTGAAATATCAAAGCCTGGCTGTTGTGCTAAGAACAGGAGGAAAAAAGCAGACTAGAAAGTCATTTAAAGTATAGCCCCCAAGCTTGTTTGCTATCAGAGAAATGGGCTGTTGAGCTTTCTGCTTGTTACCCAGAAAGAAAAGAAAGGTTAGAGAGCATAGGAATTTTAAGCTAGGTCAGAAGATTGCTACGCAATATTATAATTGCCCACTGTTAATTTACAAAGTTGCAAACAATGTTACGTTGCTCCTTTGATCTCAAATAGTCTTCCAACTATTAGAATGGAAAAGTCTCTATAGCATCAGTATTCTCTTTCCTTTTTCCATCAAATTCCTACTTTCTTTGGATTCCCATACCATGTAGTTGGAAATATTTAGATTATTTTTTTCTTTTAAAGTAAAAAAAAAACCCTACAAAACCACAAAGCCTAGAATGAGATCTGAATGGCCCTGTTCACTTCCTTTTTGCCATTTTACTTAAACAGTAAATGTTTATTTGTTTCCTGTTTCCCAGACACAATTTATTTGTTTCCTGTTTCCCAGACACAGGAATCTCTACAGTTCACCAGCCAAATCCAACTGTCTTTGTCAATAGTTGCTTTTAGCTCCATCAACATTGCAGAGGATAAAGGATGCTGTTCCCAGAAGTCCTCCAGCCCAGAAAGGAATCAGTTACTCTGAATTTGTTCTCTTTGCTCTGCTTTTCAGACAGGGTGTACAAATTGGTAGACCAGCCTTTGTGAGATATCTGGTTTCCTGATGATCCCTTTCTTATAATACTGCCGAATTGAGCGGCTCAGCTTGTCGTAGTTCATGGCAGGCCGGTTCTTCCGGATTCCCCATAGCCGAGCCACCTGGGCAGAATCTTCAATCTTAAATATACCTAGGCAGTAAATATGAGAAAGAAGAAATCTATTTATGTGGGCCACATCCTACCTGCCATCTTCGCGCTGTTATGATACTTTGAATCAGCAGAATTATTAACAGAAAAGATAGCTTGTTTAATAAAAAAGAGGAAGAAATGTTTGCAAGGAACCACAAAAAAGCAAATAAAAATAAATTTGGAGAAGCAAAATCAAAAGCACTATAATGTTTTTTTTTTATTATTGGATTTATAGTTTTGCTTACTATTCATTCCAATGCTCAAATCAGCCAGCACACTAGAAAATGCAGTGTATAAAACCTAGCAAAGTTCATATAATTCAAATCAAAACCCAAATTAAAACTGAACAGTAAATAAAACACGTATGAATCCTGACAAGCATCAGACCTATCCCATTGCTCTTATACATATGGACAGTAGCAGTGGTCCTTCACAATTGAGAGTAGTCTGAATAAAATGCTTATTTGGGAGCTCTGATGTAGATTTCTGCCCACTCTATTTCCCTCCCCCTAATTTCCTCTTAAGTTTGCACTTGGAGTGCTATGTCTTTCTCTCCCTAATTTTCCAGTTTGGAAGCATGGAGGTGGCTGAAAGAGTAAAATGGATGTTCTGATACCGAAGCCACCAATCTCACACCTGAAATTCTTCCCACCCCAACTTTTTTTTTTTTTTGCCCCTGGGGAATGTATAGAGTTTCTGTATTTCAGAAGACCTTTATAAAAGGACTTTCCAAGCTATGGAATCTTGGACTGTCCAAATAAAGAATTTGTCTCCCATTTTCAGTATGAAATTAATATCACTGACCTTTTTCCTTATTGAGCCAACGAATGAAGCGACCATAGTTATGAGGCTTCAGCAGAAGCTCTTTCAAAAACTGCCATAGGTGAATGGGCTGGCCTGAGCAGGATGAATCTACCTCGCTGTCTGTCCAGTTCTCATCATTCCCTATAGTAAGGAAACATCCATCTAAATTAATGTTTAGAAAGCAATGTACTTTTTATTAGAAAAAGCAAGTTATTTTAGACAGGAACAATGGCAGTGTCACCTAGCTTAAAGTAGACTCGAATAGTGTAATGCGTTTTGCATAGAGCTGTTGTTGAAAAATCCTGGAATCCTCAGTTGCTCGTATGAAAAGGGCAGCTAAGAGAAATCAGTTATCAGGAACCTGTTTAACCTTCAGATTAGAATACATTTTCTGTATATAAGCATTTGCAACATCAGCATTAATGTCCTGCTTATTTCTAAGCCAACCAACAACTGTAATATTCTAGTTGGTCTAGGATCAAACCACCTAAAAGTCTTCCTCCTCTCCATATGATCATCACACTGTGCTGGAAATATTCCTCTTTATGTCCCAACCAAAAATGTCAGATTTTTCTATGTCCAAGATTTAAAAGAGAAACTCTTATATCTGGACTACAGTAAAACCTCATGTGGTAGGTCCACCATCATGCTTTCTTTTCTTTCTTTCTTTTTGACAGTTTTCCACCAGTAAATTTCCCTTTTTCAGCAAGCATTTAGCCTTTCATATTTCTAACTTTATTTTTGTAAGATTTGTTTTTTAAGATATTGTTCTTGAATTATTTTTCACCACTCTGTTATTTTGTTCTTTGATTCTTTAAGTGCCAAAGGAATGTTAGCTCTGATTGAGAAGAAAATTACATTTTCCCATTCATTCATGCTAGCTCTCTCTCTCTCTCTCTCATCTCTCTCTCTGCTCATATACAGAAACTATTCTGTTATCTGAAGGTGTTATTCCACTTTGGATAATGGTGTCTACTTTCATACAGTGTATTCTTTATTATAATGCTTACTGTAAGAATTGGTTAGAATGCAGTATTGCAGGCTAACTCTGCCCACAGTTCAATCCTGACTGGTTCAAGGTTGACTCAACCTGCCATCCTTCCGAGGTTGGTAAAATGAAGATCCAGATTGTTGGGGACAATATATTGACATTTTAAACCGCTGAGAGTGTGTTGTAAAGCACTACAGAATGGTATATAAGTCTAAGTGCTATTGCTTTTGCTATACTGTAATATAATATATATATATATATATATATAATAATGTAAAAGCCATATACCAAAGGTACATAATTTAGTCAATGACTGGTCTTAAAAAGGACTGTATATTTTCATCTTTTGATCTAACAGTATCCAGACAATAAGCAGAACTAGAAGGCAGCTGCTTCTACTGCAGGAATTGAAATCATATAGAATAGAATTCTTTATTGGCCAAGTGTGATTGGACACACAAGGAATTTGACTCTGGTGCAAAAGGTCTCAGTGTACATATAAGCAACAAGTGATAAATCATGATCATAATCGTAATATTATGACATGTGCTTGTAATAAAGCAACATTTGGATTCTTGAATACCTTTTTTCTGCATCCCTATAGCTTCTTAGCTTTTTAACATTTTAGCATCCCTCTCTGAAGTATTTTTATTATTAGAATAATTAATAATATAAAATAAAATCTATTTTATTTTTATTGTTAGCAACAGTTAGCTCACCACAGTAATGCAGCTCCCCAGGAGCAGTTTTTTCTTTCATCCAGGCAGCTGGAAAGCAAACATAACATAAAGTTAATCTAATGGATTCTGACAGGCTGAATTTCCTCACTTCTTCCCATTCTTGAGGTCTCTTCAACAGTGCTTAAAGAAAGCCAATAGCTCATATAACTGGAAGGGATGCAAAGGACAAAACCCTGCTCTGTAGCACACTCACTATTCTACCTCAAAGTGATCAGCACCAAACTGTTCCAGTCCAAAGTTCTACTAAAGCATGAGGCTGAATGCTGGGACAATATCCCCCCCAAAAAGCAAGAAGCCAAAAGCACAAGTAAAATCATTAGCACGGATTATTTCGAGAGCCTTGTTTTCCAGCAGTAGTTTGGAAGTACCACAGTATAGGAGAAAAGTCCCGCTATTGCTCCAACTAGCAAAATACCTTTTTGAAGAATGAGTTTTCAGTTTCATCATTTGTTTCTCGATTCTCTTACTAAGTACCTGACTTCCAAATGTCCAGATGAGCATGTAAAACATCACCACATGATGGAGAACGTTGACGGAATGCTTCTTCAGTCATGTCACATAGCTCCTTCCCAGACAAGTCTTGGAATGATTTTCCAATCTGGGGCAATCGATATTGGTGTTCTGTCCATAAGATCCACTTCTGAACATTTCCTGGACTCCAGTCTGCAGGGTCTACAAAAATACACAGCACACACACACATATATATACTAGAGCGTGTGTACATTGTTTCAGTCATAATTCATCTTCAGAGCAAATATTCTAAGAAAATATTCCAGGTGACTAGCATTGTGAGGAGGAACACCTCCATTTTTTGATATTTTCATAGTTCTGATACATCAGCCAACATACAGTTATCATATCAATGTTTTCTGCTAAAGTTTTAAAGCAGTATTTATCTCTGAAATATTAGGCAGTAATAAAGCTATCATTGAAACTGCTGAACAACAGCAACAGTCAATAACATCCGAACCATCTCCTAGAGAATAGTGCACGTTGGATACAGCTGTAGGTCTGATGTCAATATCCTCCATGGACATTGACAGACCGTGACTGATAAAGGCTGATGATAGCTGCCATATTAGTCTTTATTATTTTTTTCTTGTTTTCAGGAATGTTCTAATAATTGAAGAGGTAAAACAAGCAGGTTGGCTTTTGTGTAGACAGTTTGCATTTTATATTTGTGTTGGCAGCGTTTAGATCCTGCCGGCAGTGTACTGAGAACATTTGCCTGGCAAGAAATCCTATGCAGTTAGAAGAACTAGAAGAGAGGGCTGATATGTTACGCTACCCATCTTTATTGCAACTTAAGTTCATGATCTGTAATTTCCTCTACATCGACTGAATTAAAAAGAGCACAGTTCTCCTTTAGTATGTAAAATTTGGAAAACTCAACTAAAATGAAAACCTTCCTGTCACTACCTCAGATGACCAACTCTTAAGAGTTCCTCAAGTTTGGATACAGTACAATTCAACTGACCAATCTGTATGACAAGGACCTGTTCTCCTCTAGCTATTTCTGGCCTTCAAGTTCTATTATTCACATACATCATGATTTAGCGTCAAGACACTGGATCCAACACTATCTAGACAGTTCCAAAGCTGGTTTATTGCAGAGTTCCATGATTTGACTCAGTTCATCCTAATGTCAACTGCCTTTCCTTTAGCACCAACATGGCTAATGATCAATTATAATGGGATCATGCCTGAAAAACAATCTCAGCTGGGGAAGGTTGGTGTAAAATTTCTAAGACTTATCCAAATAAAGAATGCAAACCCCATGTTGTATTTTAATATTTTTCCACTTCCTTGTCCTAACAACCAGCCAGGTTTTGCCCTTTCTAACCACAGCTCTGCCATTTCTTCTGCAACAGTGTTGAGTAGTCCATGAGAAGTCTGTGATTTTTGTTAGATGCATGCAAATGCATATATGTGAATGAAGCATTTGGTATCTGGAGCTAATGAATAAAGTGAACAAAGCAGAAAAATGAAAAGCCCAGTGACAGCGTCTTTCTGTAACGCAACAGCCAGTACGGTATGTGCATCCTAGGAGAAAGCCGTTCTCCCTCCATTTTCCCCCTTGTTCCTTTGCTCCAACTATGTCAAATCTTTTTATTTCCACTGCCATGAAAGAATACTTGAGCTTTGATAACCAGCCTACAAATTTAGAGAACTGCTATATTGTACATCATTGTATAACAAGTAAATAAATCAGGTTGAAAGTTTATTTGATCTTCACACCCATCAACTCCTGTTTTACAGAGCTTATAATCCTAATGTCAGGATAAAAGGCATAGTAATAAAGAATCTTCTAATACCCTAATGACTGATGAATTTATTACCTTATGTTAACTTGTCCATTCCATTAGATGCATTTTGTGATTCATGGAATCTTATACAATAACAAAATGGTTAGTCTTTAAGGTGCCACAAAACATTTCATTGTTTTTTGTTGCAAAGCAAACAAACAACATGGTAGTCTGAAAGGAGATTGAAACCTACCAACGATAGGCAAAGAATATTGCCAATTATTGGCAAATGACCACAACAGTCTCACTAGTTTTGCAATGCATGATTATGCCTCTACATACACATTTTTTTCTATTTTGTGGGCTAAGCTGTGCCAAATATAAGAACAATAGGCCTGTGGTACTCACCTGCGGCAATGTTGAGCAGTTTACAAGCTGTTTCAATGTCCTTGAGCACTTCACCCACTACCATTGTTTGCACCTGTTCCAGAGAGTGCTCCTCAAGGTGAAGACTGGCCTGATAATCCATCTCAGAGGTGAGGCTCAATCCTTGACTGTCAATGATGGGACACTGCTCAGGTTCCTTATGCACTTCCGTCCTGCTTCCTTGGTTGTTGTGTTGTTGAGTTTCACCCAAACTCTTTGGGACCCAATTGCTGTCATCTGGGTAGAGCATATTAAAGTACTGCAGGCAATAGGTGGGAAGGAGTTGCTCAGGTGTAGCAGGGGGGCTTGGGCTGTCAAGGGGCCGCCAGCTGTCAGGATCCCGAGCAAGAGGGAGCTTCTCCAGGCCAGAAAAGAGTACAGGATCCTGAAGGGTGACCCGACTGTGAGGCAGAGCAACCAGACCTTGGCCAGCACTGCCCATCACTCTGTGCAAGTTTTCCTCCAGATCTACCATCAAAGAAGAGAGAGAGAGAGAAAGAAGGGGGGTGGAAACATATGCCTCAGTCAGAAGGGATGGTTTGATAATAATTTCTGCATTTCTGCCCAGTGATCAGGCACAATGGAGGAAAGCTAAGCCTGTTAAAGGAAAAGAAACCACCAAAGAGTCATTCTATGGCCAAAGAGACCCCTTGATGAAAACAGGTTAAATAGCTCTTCAAGGGCCCAGGCAACTCTTCCCTTCTGGGTCATTGGGCAATAAGAGGGCAAGGGAAGGAATCACGATAGGAAGGGGAAAAGCAAATGCAGGAAAGAACATTACTGGGGTTAAATTTATGGAGAATGAAGTAAGTCTCTCTCTAGTTTCCAAAGGGCAAAGGCTAAGAAAGGAAGAAGACCACAATATGAGGAACTCATCTAACAGTCCTTGTGGGGAATAGAAAATGAAAGGTGAGTAGAAATGAAATTGTAACACCATGTAAATATTCAGAGATGGGGGTCTTCATGAATATACTGTATGTGCATGAAGGAGAGCAATGCAAAAAATAAGCACTGTCTGCACATCGTTATTCATGAATCACCTTCACCTGCATTATTCACAGACTTATCCCTTGTAAAATGACAGCTTCAAAGAAAGACCAGATTATTTTTAAAGAACAATATTTTATATCTGCAGATACGATGATAGCCCATTCCAAAAGTTAATTTACTGTTATCTTTTCCCCAAAAATATGATTGTATAAAATATCATTGGTCCCTGGATTTATTTCTTTAAATCATACATAACCCAACACTTTACAAGGCAGCACAGACAATGTGAGAGAAAATGCCACTGCACTGTCATTCTGAGACCCCTCAGAACGACAGGTTTGGAAGGGGCTTTGGAGGTCGTCTAGTCTAACCCCCTACTCCAGCAGGAGATCCTGTATCTTTTCAGACAAATGGCTTGTCCAATCTCTTAAAAACCTCCAGTGATGAAGGCATGGTGTTCCACTAAATACTTCACCTTGTCCTTGTCCACTAAATGCTTCACCTTGTCCAAAGCAACAGAAAAAGGTTTCTCCTTTACTCAGATGAAAAGCAATTCCCACCCATGTGAAAGCAGTATTTGCAGAAGTTAAATTGACCAGCATCTAAAACTATGGCTAAAATGTTGAGGATGGCACACAAATTTAACAAATCAAAGCAACTATTGATCTCTCAGATGTTATACAGAATTTCTCACTTCTTCTTTTGACTAGGTGATTTTCCTCCCAATTTGATGGGTAAAACTGGAGATAAAATATCAATGGGTATCATTTACAAAATATTAAGTTATATTAGCTATGGATTTGTCCCACCATAAACAACACCCCCACTCTTGTTTTTGGTGACATATTCATGGACATTACCTTTAACTGAGCCCAAATTACAGAATATTTGCATTTACCACACTAAATGAGTCAGAATAATTCTAATTTAGTATGTGTATTATGCATCAGAGACAGGCAGAGTTTTGCACAATTAGTTGGATGCACATTGGACATTAAGATTATCTTTAATATTCAACAACCCACCCACCCCTGCCCAAACTAACACATATAGCTTGGTTTTATCTCTAAATGAAATTAACTAAGATTAGAATACCAATATTCTGATGAAATAGCAGGTTGGGCATCACCACCATGAGTCCACTATCCTGGAAATATTTTCATAAGCATTTTTGGGTAGGCAATGAACTGTCTTTCAATACTCTAGGTACACAACTGAGTCAATGCAAAGGCAAAGAGATGCGGTGCATCCAATATGGTCTTTGATCTAAGTCTGTTACATTCTGAAATCATATTCTGGTGGAACATTTCAACCTTATTTTAATCTTTCATCCTTTCCTTTTGTCCTTTGGTGATGGAAAGTGACCTGGGCTCAGCAGAGAGGTGGATGAATTGGCTGGATTTCCATGACAACTTTGCAACTGTCATGAACCAAACAGAAAGCCTGAGGGCTTAAAGTGTGTGAGGTGAGAATGACAGGAGAGAGACGATAGTCCCTCTGAAATGAGAGTGCAGTTAAAAGGCTGCTGTTGGGGACATCATGCTGGAATATAGAAGCTCGAGTAGGTGGCTCACAAATGCCTTCTTTCCATAGGTATTCTAGCGCTACACAGAAGCTCAAATCAAACAAATACCGTAATTCACTCCCCTTCCCACCACTCACCCACTCAATATTTTGGAACACCACATATTCCAGAAATACCTTGCTGATCTCAAAACTAAACTGGGTTAACACTTGGGTAGGAGACCATGAAGAAAATGCAGAATTATAATCTAGTCTGGGAAGTCAAGGACAAATTCCTTCCACACTTTTGCTTAAAAAACTTTGTGGGTGAATTCTTGTAATCATCAAGAACTGAGCTCGAACTGGAATATAATTTAGTGTTGTGTAGTTATTCTAGTACATTAACAAAGGGTGAACATAGCAATAAGCAAAGCAAAAGTAATCTGCACAGTGGTGTGGGGAAGTCAAAAAAGCCAAGAAGTTAGTTGTGGCACTATTATTGAAACCTTGCCTTTTTGGTGCATGTGCGAAGCCTGAACAGGGTAAGGCTTTGATTCAGTGGCCATAGCCACTTTCTTGACCTTTTGGACCCCTTCCATATCTGCCACTGAAAGTACATGTACATTTCAAATGTCATGCTTCTGGTCTCCAGTAGTCCAGGCCCTTGGCAACAATCCAATACAAATAGATCAATATGCATAAGAAAGCTTGTCTCATTCTCTCTACACGAATGCAAGTACATAACATTTAGCTGTGAGTAAGCCAGTTAATTCATTAAGAAATATAATAATAATAATAATAATAATAATAATAATAATAATAATAATAATAATAATAATAATAATAATAATAATAATAATAATAATAATAATAATAATAATAATAAAAAAAAAAAAGTTGGAAGGGATCTTGGAGGTCATCTAGTCCAACCCCCTGCTCAGGCAGGAAATCTATACCATTTCGGACAAATGGCTGTCCAGTTTCTTCTTGAAAACTTCCAGTGTTGGAGCATTCACTGCTTCTGGAGGCAGGCTGTTCCACTGGTTAATTGTTCTAACTGTCAGGAGGTTTATCCTTAGTTCTAGGTTGCTTCTCTCTTTGGTTAGCTTCCACCCATTGCTTCTTGTCCTGCCTCCAGGTGCTTTGGAAAATAGCTTGGCTCCCTCTTCTTTGTGGCAGCCCCTGAGATATTGGAACATTGCTATCATGTCCCCCCTTGTCCTTCTCTTCATTAAACTAGACATACCCAATTCCAGCAACTGTTCCTTATATGTTTTAGCCTCCAGTCCCCTAATCATCTTTGTTGCTCTTCTCTGTACTCTTTCTAGAGTCTCAACATCTTTTTTACATTGTGGTGACCAAAACTGGATGCAGTATTCCAAGTGTGGCCTTACCAAGGCATTGTAAAGTGGTATTAATATTTCACGTGATCTTGATTCTATTCCTCTGTTAATGCAGCCTAGCACTGTGTTGACTTTTTTGGCAGCTGCAGCACACTGCTGGCTCATATTTAAATGATTGTCCACTAGGACTCCGAGATCCCTCTCACAGTTACTACTATTGAGAAAGGTACCCCCTACTATACCTGTACATTTGGTTTTTCTTGCCTAAATATAGAACCTTACTTTTTTCATCATTGAATTTCATTTTGTTAGATAGCGCCCAGTGTTCAAGTCTGTCCAGATCCTCCTGTATCTTAAGCCTGTCTTCTGGAGTGTTGGCTATTCCTGCCAGCTTGGTGTCGTCTGCAAATTTGATGAGTTCCCCATCTATCCCCTCGTCCAGATTGTTGATGAAGATGTTGAAGAGCACTGGGCCCAGAACAGAGCCAGATCTCTAAACAGATCTGTATAGGATTACCTTGACATTATACCAGTTAAAGTTAGCACATATCAGACATCTGAGGGCCAAGACTTAGCAGGCTGGGTATATCCATTATCCAGAGAAGAAGCAGCTGCTCTTCTCTTCATTCAATGAATGAATGAGTCACACGATAGTTGCTTTGTATGGAAATAGATTCTGTTGAATATAGAAATTTAATACTGGGGGGGGATGAGAAGCCCCCTCTTCCTCAAAACCTACTGAAGATGCCTCATGATCAGACAGAAAAGAATGGGTAATACTGAGGAGTTGAACCTTTTTCTGTTCAGAAATAATTTCCTTATCAAAAAAATCAGCTCGGTTAAAATTCTAAAAGCAGATAAGTATGTTCAAGGATAGGGAATCATCTTTGTATAGTGTTTTGTAAATGCCTAACATAACAATGCAGGATTTTCCCCCCTTTCAAGTACCATGCAAAATAATTTTCAAAATAATTGCAGGCAAACTGTAATCTCCTTCCTGGAAATATCCCAACAAGGAGGGTTCACAAAGTAGATAGCAAGAGTTCACAAAACTTCCCCTACCTCATTTCAGTAATGAAATTATAGTAAATGGTCCTGTGTTAGAGAATGTGCAGTGATCCCCCCCCCATATCACATAATTTACAGCATCTCCCTTTAAGGATCTGGCCACCTTCTAGATTTATAAGAATTATAACTTTCTGAAGCACAGCAGTGATCTTTAGTGATTGCAAAATAATGCATATTTTGTATAGTTGTATAGTTTTATTGACGATGTGTCCTGCAAACTGGTTTAGTTCGAACTGCTCTCTCTCCCCCCCCCCCCAAAAAAAAAATTTTTTTGCTGCTGATTCCCATAGGTTTCTATCCAGGAGCTGGAATTCATATCTGCTCCCCAGAAGGAATGATATACAGTAAATAAGAAATAATTAAATATCACTGTTTGTCTCTGGCCAAAGTTTTATTATTCTGATGAGTCAATCAAGCACAACAGCTAAAAGCCATGTTACAGTCTGAATTGTTCTTAAACCAAACTGGGCATACCCATTCCCACTCCTCCTGTTCATGATTTAGCCCAGTGCATTATGGAGTTAGAAAGTGGAATACTGAAGACATGAAAATATTTGCTTGAGG